TTTGGGAGGCAGAGGTGGGAGTATTGCTTGATCCTAGAAGTTCAAGACCAGCCTGGGCAACATAGTGAGATCCTGACTCTACAGAAGAAAAGAAAAATAACTTTTCTTCTTCAATTGTTTAGGTTACTCTGAAATACAGTTTTTGTATAGGAAAGTCAGCCATAACTGCTTGATTCTTTCTCTTTGGCAATTTTTGGAACAAGTTGCAATGGTGACCATGAAAAATATATTTGACTTAGTACATGCAGTTGCAGTTGTTTTTCTTTGTGATTCTCAAATTCTCCCATCTTTGGCCAGTGGAGGTGCATTCAAATTGGATTCTGTATTCTACTGACATCATCTCAGTAGTCTTTGATAATTCGCTTGCTTTCCGGCAAAACAAAATGTTTTGGGTTCATCTTGGTTCCTTTAAATGTGAAATTGTATTTAGAGACTACAACCTGGGTGCTGTGGGTACTCATTGCTGAGTTATTGTTCTGAGCTTTTTCAGTGAGCAGAGTACTTGGCCTTATGTCAATATTTTCGCAGTCTTTTTGGTCTTCTGAGGTTCTTCTCTTGTGGATTTCTCAGGAAGGGCTCATGAAAGCAATACTCCTGAGTTTTTGTATGTTTGTAACTGTTTATCTGCAGCCTTTCTTCCTCAAGGCCAGTTTGGTTGGACATAAAATCTGTGGCTCATATTTTTTGTCTTTGAATATCCTACGTGTTGTTTCATTGTCTTCTAGCATGAAGTGCTATTTATAAAAGTCTGAAGGCACTCTGATATTATCCCCTTGTAAGTGACTTTGTTTTTTTGCCTGAATGTCAGAAACATTTTTTCTTTTCTTATGGAGTCTATAAGTTTTACTCTAATATGTCTCAGTGCCAGTTTCCTGGCTCAGTTTTCCCAGAATGCAGAATGTTTCTTCCATATCTAGTTCAAGCTAATTTTTATTTCAGGAACTTTTCTTACATGATAAGTTTTAGTGTCTGGCTCTGTTCCTGTGCTTCGGTACTTGTTTGGGATTCTCATTAACATGTTAGATCTTTGTTGTTTATTCTCCATCACTTTTCTCTCAAATTTTTTTTTATCTTTTCCATTTGTTTTTTATTTTAAAAAAGCATTTTAAGAGCAGTTTTAGGTTGACAGCAAAATTCCCATATACCTGCAACATACTCCATATTTTAGGTAGTGCTACTAAAGGTGCATTTGCTGTGGAGACGAACCTACATTGACCCGTTTTCTCCTGAAGTCCATAGTTTACATTGGTGTTCACTCTTGGTGGTGTACATTCTGTGGGTTTTGACAGAGGCATAACAACATGTATTTACCATTACAGTACCATACAGAGTATTTTCAGTGCCCTAAATACTCTCTGCTCTCCACCTGTTTATCCTTCTATCCCCCCAACCCCTGGCAACCACTCGTTTTTGTTTTTTTCTTTCTTTCTTTTTTTTTTTTTTTTACTTTCGCCATAGTTTTGTCTTTTCCCAAATGTCATATTTGGAATACCTTTTTTGATTTTTAAGACATTTTTCCTTTTCATCTTTGATTTCTCTTAAAACATCGCTCACTATGTTTATTTGCTCTTATGTTCAATTCAGTCTTTATTTTGAAATTATTTTTGTTCTTTTATTTCCAGTACCTTCCTGAGTTCTGTTACAGCTCTTGTCAAATCCTTTTCCTCATGACCTCATCCTTGATTCTGGCTTATGCTGTTTTGTTTTGTTTTTTTTTTCAAAGGATCTATCTTCTCTTAATTTCTTTTGGCTGGTTGTGAAATGATGGGTCAGTTTACTTCTGCTCTGTGGGCATGTCTTTCTGGTGGGTTTCATTATCTGCAGAGACGTTATACTCCCTCTGATTCTTCCTCGCTCTCTGTTTAATAAAGACTTTGCACGAAATTTGAGGGTGCATCTTTTCTGTTGTTCATCTTTTAAGTGAGTTGAATGTGCTTATACTTTAGAGAGAAGAGATGGAACATGATTTACCTTTTTCCTAACTTCATAGTTCTCTAAGTCTCTCTTCGGCTGTTTTCTCAGTGATAAAAATATATATGGACTAGTGCTACCTCCTCTGCTTCTCTACCTTCTTTAATCGAAACTTTCTTTTTCCTTTGTCACTACCTTTTCTGTCCTGTGATCAATTTGGAATTTACTCCAAATTGTCTCTCAGTGAGAGATTTTGTCTTAGAATGAAGCTTCTTTCATACTAGAAGAAAACACAGGGTAAATCCTCCATGACACTGATTTGGGAAATTATTTTTAAAGATGTGAACCCAAAAACATAGACCACAAAAGCAAAAATAGACAAATAGGATTACATTAAACTAAAAAGCTTCTGCACGGCCAAGGAAACAATCAACAGAGTGAAGAGACAACCTACAGAATGGGATAAAATATTTGCAAACCATATATTGATAAGGGTTAATATCTAAAATATATGAGGAACTCAAACAACTCAATAGCAAGCAAACAACCCAATGTAAAAGTGGGCAAAGGATCTGAATAGATGTTTCTCAAATAAAGAAGGAAGCTTTATTCTGTGAACATCTAGAGTGTGTAGCACCCAGACTGTCCCTGCACATCAGTCTTGTAGCATCATTGTCAATTTGCTGCCACCCACAAATTGATTCCTGCAGAATCTCCCTTAATTCCACCTGTTCTCAGACAGGCTCTCCATGCTTTTTGGTGAGCACCTGTTGGTGATTTGGGTGTTTTCATATCCTCGAGGATGTCAGATGTTGTCTGTGGATCTTTAGATTTACTATCTTATTTGCTGTGTTTTTATGTGAAGACTTAGCCCAAAAAACGACACTGCCACCACCACTTTTCCAGAATCGCAAAAATCTTAATGAAGTTTCTACCGTAAGAATAATACATATTCTTTCATTGTTACATTGCCTTCCTCTCTCTGATCTTCCTGCCTCCCACTTATCAGAATCCTCGTGATTGTATCAGGCCCCCTTGGAAAATCCAGGATAACTTTCCCACCTTAACATCCTTACTGTAACCCCACCCACATGATCAGTTGATATTGACATTATGTTCCCCCAAGGCAATGTAGAGGCTGCTGGATCCTTGGTTCCAGTTTTGAGTGCAAGATCCGCAAACAAGGCTTTGCATCCTGGGGTGGAACGTATCGAATAATCTACATATGTTATCTGGAATTCTTCTGTAAAAAACACGTGTCCTTTCTCCCTCATTTATTTATTTATTCAATCGTTTATTTGTGGCATAGACTCATATACTTTTATACTTTGGGATATAGTCTAATACTAAATTTTTAAGTTTTTTTCAGATGGCTTCAGTTTTGGTCACTGGGAACTCTTTCAGGTTGGTTGCTGTGTCCCTTTGATTTACCTCCATCATTGTTTATGTGTGTGTGTATGTAGAAAGCCCTATTGCCACTTGCCCCCCAACATTGTTTTTTGAGTACTTTCTGGCACTACAAGACACTCCAGGTTCATGGTATGTTTTCCCTGCCTCAGCCCTAGAATCAGCCCTGGTTCCTTTCATTGGAGAAAGATATTTGGAAACCAAGATCTGGGTGCTTGGTGAGCTCTCTGTAATAGGTATCACTGCCAAGGCTTCTTGGTACACAGAGTTAGAAATATATCTATGTATACCAACATATATACACATATATACATACACACACACACACACACACACACACCCCTACAATCATTTCTGCATCTGTCTACCTGGATATAGAAGTAAACATGAGTTCGTTCTAATGTCTGATTCCAATCCAGTACCACAGGGTTCATTCTGATCTTGTGTGGCCTTATTTGTAACTTCTTTTTCTGACTACAATAAATCTGGCTTCCATTTTTTAAAGCATTTATTTATTTATTCAGTCATTCATGCATTCATCCATAGTATAATGTAATTCTGAATTAGTAACCCATATCCCCATGTGAAACAAATTTACAACTAGAGTACAGTATTCATGTCACATCTTTTCGTCTTTAGCCTTAGTTTCTACTCAAAGCACCATTTTTAACATTACTTAGGTCATCATTTTACCCTATGTCCTTCAGTAAAGTTATGTCATATATTTCTAATATAGTTAGATTCACTTGTCGCAATCTGCTTTCCATCCTTGTGTTGCTCACATTCGGGTTGATATTTTAAAATTCCACACATTACAGTTGATTTTTTGTGGTGTACCGTTCTATGAGAGTGGACAACGCACAGTCATATACCCACCACCGCACACCATGCAAAACAGTTCCATCACAACTAAAAATTCCCCACTGTGATCTCTGCAATCAGCCTCTACACCTCCCGACAACCCCTGGCAACCGCTGAGCTGTTTTCCATCATTATTGTTTGCCTTTTCCAGAATGTCATACAAATGGAATCTTTTCCCCTTGATCAATTGCTCATTCATTTTCATTCCTGAGTAGGATTTGATTATATGGTTATTGTATAGGTATACCACTGTGTTACTTTTTTCTTTATTTCTTTTCTTTTTTTTAGAGACAGGGTCTTGCTATGTTGCCTAGGCTGTCCTCAAACGCTTGGACTCAAATGATTCTCCCTTCTCAGCCTCCTTAGTAGCTGGGATTATAGGCACACACCACCTCACCTGGCTGTTTATCTATCGATTCACCTATTGAATGACATTATTACTACTTCCAGATTTCTGTTAATAATGATTAAAGCTGCTACCAACATTTATAGACATGTTTTTATGTGCATATAAGTTTCAAATTCTTTTAGGTAAATACCTAGGAGTGTGATTGCTGGATCATACGCTAAAGCGTATGCCTAACTCTATAAAAACTACCAAATTGTCTTCCGAAGTGGCTACACCATACTCCATGCCCACCAGCAATGAATGAGAGTTCTTGTTGATTTGTGTCCTTAATAGCACTTGGCATTGTCACTTTCTTGGAATGTGTGCCCTCTCCCACATCAGCACCTATTCTTTCTACGGAAGCCATTGCCCTAGAAACATACTCTGCGACTGAAACTTCCCTTATGGCAAGAGCTGAAGCAAGAGTCATTCCTATTTTTAAATCCAGGTCTTTATTTTGCCTGTGCAAATATGAATGCAGGCATAACTAATAGTTAAGGCTTTTAAAATATATACATTTTGAGGAGGAAAAGAGGAGAGAGAAAGAGGAAGAAAGAAGTAAGAAGAAAAAAAAAGGAAAGAAAGAAGACTCATCTTTGGGTAATTTGCAACATATTACATAAGGATGGAATATTGAGGTCATAATTTGCAATCACAGAACTCAAAAATATAAATCTGTTATAAAATGTTAATGATAATTATATTTACTGGGATTTGTTTTTTTTTAAAAAAGCTAATTTCTGCAATCTGTGAGCTTTCGGTGAGCCAAAAGCTTTGCCCTGGGATGCAGTTCCAAGGGATCTTGAGGCTTCCTCTTCGTGGGTGAAGGGGCAGTTTGCAAAGATACATGCCTAATGGTCTCATCTTCTAAAACTCTTAGTTGTCGGCTTTTTTGGTTTAGGACACCACTCCAGCCTTCAATCTAAAAGGCTCTCCCTGTACGTTGCTCTCCTCCTTGAGTTCGAATAGGTCACCCAGGGCCTTGACTCAAGAATGGAGGATAGGCGCTGTCTCTGAATCTCTTTGGCAAGTGAGGAGGAGGGGATGTCTCTTCTCCTGAGATGCTCTTTTCTGTAAAACAGACGCTGGTTTCACCGTGGCTGGATGGCAGGGAGTCTGGATTTGCTTCACAGATTGGAAGTGACCTCACATGGGGCAGCCTCTTTCCATCCTACAGAACTTCTACTTGCCATAGCACTCCCAAAGGCCAGGGTTTCCAGGGCCCCAAAGAGCACACGAGGTGATACCAGAGTCAGAAATATGCCTCAAACTGTCTTGTGTAAGTCTGAATTTGAGTCACTACGTTGTACCTTCAGCTTTCTGTTATATACCCATTATCAGGTGGTGGTGGAGTGAAGTTGGGGAGGAGAAAGGTGACTAAAGAATCTTTCATTTATAAGAAAATTAGATTAAAAAGCCTAAAAACGCCTTGCAGATTCCATAAAAAAGTAGTGAGAGTCCTGTGTGCACACTTTCCTATACTTGGACCGGGGATACTTTGCACTTTGCAAAGCCCTGCCTGGTGCAGTGTTTCATGCGAACCTCACAGTCAAACCTGGCACTTCACTGGGACTGAGACAAATGTCCCATTTTCTAGGTGAAGAAACAGGCTCTCTTGGGCAGTCACACAGCTTTTAAAGGGTGAATCGAGCTGGAATTAAGCTCTGACCAAGTTCCATGCCACACAGCTGCAGCCACATAGCGTCGCCCTGACAGTCGACCCCGTGAAGCAGGAGACAGAGGCTGCATCTTCACTGTTGTTTGTCCTCTGTTTTTGTAGCATCCCCGGGAACTTCCCCATCAGCCAGGGGGTTGTCCCCACCACCCTTCACCTGGCTCTCCAGTTGGCTGAGACGCTGCTTCATCTTCATCTGGGTGGCGTTGTACTCAGCCAGGAGGCGTGCAAACCTCGTCTGCAGGGTGTCCAGGGAGGACCCCAGCTGCTCCACCTTCTCCTCAAGGTCCTTGGGGTCCGCCCCCGCCCTGGCCAGCTCCTCATCAATCAGGTTGTCCTTCATCAGGATCTGCCGTCCTTTCTCCTCCAGAGCCTTCTTGGCTTCGGGGTACTCGGTGAGGGCCTCCATGAGATCGTCCTTGGAGAGGCAAAACAGGTCTGAGTAGCCGATGCTGCGGATGTTGGCCGTCCTGCGGTTCCCCGATTTGCTCCCCTTGATGTTCAGGATGCTGATCTCCCCGAAGTAGCTGCCATCGCTGAGGACCACGAACTGGGTGACCCCATCATCGGCCACCACGGCCAGCTTGCCCTCATTGATGATGTACATCTCCTTCCCAATGTCTCCCTTCTTGCAGATATAATCCCCAGGGCTGAACACAGTGGGCCGCAGCTTTAGCACCAGCTCCACCAGCAGCCCCGCTTCACAGTCCTGGAAGATGCGAACCTTCTTCAGCGTGTCCAGGTGCACGTTGATGGCGATCTCGGCCTTCAGCTTGTCTGGGAGGCTCTTCAGCACCTCCTTCTCATCCACCGTCTTCTTGTTGGCCCACAGGTAGTCAAACCACCGGATAACCCGCGTCTCCAAGTCCTTGGTCACCTTGCGGAACTGCATGTACTGCTTGATGGAGTCGATCTTGGCCTGGAACTCTGCCCGCGAGGCGTTCATATTCGAGATCATGGAGCCCACATTGCCCACGATGGTGGCAAAAATCAGAACGCCCACCAAGAAGTCTATGACCACAAAGAGATACTCCTCGTCTTTCACAGGGGGTGGGGTCTCACCGATGGTGGTAAGGGTCAAGGTGGACCAGTAGAGGCTGTAAATGTACTTCCTGGAGAGGCGCCCATGCTCTGGGATTGAGATGTTTGGGTAGACCCAGGAGTCTGTCCCAAAACCAATGAACTTGGAAATAGCAAAGTAGATGCAGGCATTCCAGTGGATGATGACGAGAATGTACAAGACCAAGTTCCCAATCCTGAATATATTGGGGTAGTTGGTCCTCGTCTCTGTGCGGTCAAAGAATTCAAAGAGCCGGGAAAACTTCAGTAGGCGGTTGAACCTCAGTTCTGGGTAGTTCATGCCCACCTTTAAGTAAGCCAGGTCGGTGGGGACCAGGGATAACACATCCAGCTTGAATTGCATGGTCGTCTTGTAATGCTGCCACAGCCTGTTGGTATCACTGACCATTAAGCCTTGCTCAAGAAAACCTAAAGAAGAAGATGGAGGTCACTCGGGCATCACAGAGGCCGACTTTTTTGACCACAGTACAAAGAAACATCTTTTACCTCATGGCTACAGAATATGCAGTGATACATATATAATAGAAATTATTTCAAAACCAACACTTACCATGACTATAGGAAATGCACTCTGATATTTTCTGTTCTATGAGGTTCTATCTCTTCTATTGAATTTTTTTAAAACATAGGTCGATTGAGTAAATTTAAGTATAAATGAGGTATTAGATGATAACAAGGAATGACTATTAAATTTTAAAAGATAAAAGGAAATTATGTACATATTTTAAAAAAGGATCCTTTAAAATTAGAGATACATGCTGTAAATCAAAAACTGATGGTGGGCCAGGTGCCGTGGCTCATGCCTATAATCCCAGTACTTTGAGAGGCTGAGGCGGGTGGATCACCTGAGGTCAGAGGTTCGAGATCAGCCTGGGCAACATGGTGAAACCCTGTCTCTACTAAAAATACAAAAATTAGCCAGATGTGGTGGTGCACCCCTGTAATCCCAGCTACTCGGGAAGCTGAGGCATGAGAACAACTTGAACCCAGGAGGCAGAGGGTGCAGTGAGCCAAGATCGCACTACTGCACTCCAGCCTGGGCAACGGAGTGAGACTCTGAGTGTTTAAAAAAAAAAAAAAAAAAAGAAAAGTGATGGAGGCGATCTCAATTGATTTAGAGGTTTATTTTACCAAGGTTGAAAGTACACCTAGGAGAAAGAAACACAAGTCACAGCAGGATCTGTGGCCTGTGCTTTTTCCAAAGAGGATTTTGAGGATGTCAATACTTAAAGGGGACAGAGCAGGCAGCAGGCAGGACAGGAAAGAAGAAAGAAAAGAAAGGGTGGGTAGGCAATGAGGCCAGTAGTTACATTCTTGTGAGGCTTTGATTAGCACTCAGTGAATCTACATGTGAAAAGAGGGGAGAGGAGGAAAAGTACATTATGCAAACTACATTTTACATAAGATAAAGTAAGCATGTGAAATTACAGCTATCTGTTTGGGAAGAAAAGGAAGGCAGCTTTTGCATGACTCAGTTCCCAAGCGTAACTCTTCCCTTTGGCACAGTGAGTTTGACTTCCTGAGATATTCTATTTTCTATTCAAAACACTAAAGTGCTTACTGCCTGGGGTTTGCTTACACCAGCCAAGAAAAGGGTGGAAGAAACAAAAAAGCAAAAACAAAAACAGGAAAATGAAACAAGAAAAGGGTGGATGAAACAAAAAAGCAAAAACAAAAACAGGAAAATGAAACAAGAAAAGGGTGGAGGAAACAAAAAAGCAAAAACAAAAACAGGAAAATGAAACAAGAAAAGGGTGGATGAAACAAGAAAAGGAGCAGATGAAACAAGATGGGCAGAATGTTGATAACAGCTGGAGCTGGGTGAGGGTACATGGGGATTCATAACACTATTCTCTCTGCTTTTGCATACATTTGAAAATATTAATAATAAAAATTAAAAACACACAGGCCATGGCCTCCCAAACTGATTTCACCAGTCAGCAATGGGGCACAACCTGCCTTTTGAAAACACCTCGCAGGAACACAGCTGTCCTTGGTTGCACGTGACTGTTACCCAAGGGGCTTTAAAAACATATGAAGTTCGGGACCCACCCCCAAAGAATCTGACTGGTCTGGAGATGGGGTGGACACCTAGAGCCAGGGGCATTATAATGGGTGAAATCAATTAAGGAGGCCATGACCCACATTCTTTTTTGTTTTTTACATTTTCAAAAAAGCACAAAAGTAGAGAGAATGATAGAATTAGTCCTTTTAAAGTTGTGGTGAGCATCAGTATTTCCCCGAGGGCTGTGTGAAATGCAGAGTGCCAGCCTGCAACCCAGAGTTGGCTCCTGGAAGTTGGGGGCAAGTCCAGCAAGTTCCAGGTGATGCTAGGGCTGCGGGTCCATGCCACTGAGGCTAGACTGGGGTAGGACGTCCCACTCTGCTCAATCTGAAAATCTAGTGTGCCGTCACAACGAAGAACACCCTGCTTCCCAGCCCCCAGTTCTTCTTAGCATTATTTGTTATACATGAGTTACTGAGGGCCTCGATCATTACGTAGCCTCCTGTGCCTCCAGCCTCCTCCCCACTTCTTTAAGGTGTCTTCTCACAATTCTAATGATGTTTTCCTTGGGGTGTGATTCCTGTGCCTCCCTCTCTCCCAGCTTCCTGCTGAATCTTGAGTTGCTTAGGATACTACCCAAGCACAAGAAGGCATAGGGTTAATGTCTGAGTCAGGGTGTCTCATCCCACTGAAGCTGGGCTGAGACCAGGGAACATCAGCCCAATGGGCCACTTACAGAGCTCGTGTGTCTATGGAGTTTAACATGACTGCAGTAGGGGAGCAGATGGCCAGGGCTGGCTAGGTCACCCATGCAAGCCTCAGCCTGTGTATCCGAGGTCTTCTAAGTTATGCTGCTAGGCATCAGTGTGGAAGCAAACGGTGGACCAGTCTGGCATGGCTGGGCAGTGACTGTGGACTTTGGATAAGTCACTTGGTGTCTCTCACATTGGTTTCTAAATCAGCAAGATGGGAGGTGATCATGCCTGTGCTTCTTGTCTCATGCAGTGGTTCTAATGAAGATGCCAGACACGCTTGAAATATTTTGTACATGGAGCCACACAGAGGTTGGCTACTGTGATCTGCTGGTCTTTGCATCAACAGCTATAGCATAGCATAGCTTATTTATTTTATTTTATTTTATTTTATTTCATTTTATTTTATTTTTTGAGACAAGGTCTTGTTCTGTAACCCGAGGCCATGACTCCCTTTAGTCTTGACCTCCTGGACTCAAGCAATCCTCTCACCTCAGCCTCCTGAGGCACACACCAGCACGCCCAGCTAATTTTTTCTTTTTGTAGAGACAAGGTCTTGCTATGTTGCCCTGGCTAGTCTGGAACACCTGGCCTCAAATGACCCTTCTGTCTTGGCCTCTCAGAGTGCTGGGATTACAGGTGCCTGCACCCATGCCTGGCCTGGCACAGTTTTTAGTTCAAAAATCTTGGAAACAGGGCCTCTACCAGCTTAGGCAATGTCTTTGTGCAGATTAGAAAAAGACGTCCCAAGCGCACACAGTTCAGCACCTAAGAAATGTGAGGGGTGAGTATCCTTTCCCATCCCCAACCAGAGATGATTTGAAGGAAGTCCTCATTCACCGGGGCCCTATTTCAGATTTTCATTCTCCACATGTTAAAACTCCTCTGAAAGCCACGGAGTAACATGTCCTGGATCCTCTGACTGTCTGAGAAGAGAAACTCCAAGATTGCCTGAGCTCTCCTTCCTGCTCACCCCAGTGTCGAGTAGTGAGAGCTGGAAAGGTCCTTCGAGATTGCAGTTTGGCCTGCTTATTTCTTTTTTTTTTTTTTTTGACAGAGTGTTGCTGTGTCGCCTGGGTTGGAGTGCAGTGGCATGATCTCCACTCACTGCAACCTCTACCTCCCGGAGTTCAAGCGATTCTCCTGCCTCAGCCTCTCAAGTAGCTGGGATTACAGGCACATGCCAGCAGGCCCAGCTAATTTTTTGTATTTTTAGTAGAGATGGAGTTTCACCATGCTGGCCAGGCTGGTCTTGAACTCCCGACCTCCAGTAATCTGCCCACCTTGGCCTCCCAAAGTCCTGAGATTACAGACGTGAGCCACTGCGCCTGGCCCAGCCTGCTTATTTCAGAGGTGACAAAAAGAAGGCCCAGAGAGACAGCCTGACTTGCTCAAGGTTACACAGCTTGTTGGAAGGGCAGAGCCCAGAGCTTAGGTGTCCTGGCTTCTACTCAGTGTCCTGTCCAAGGGTTCCGTGTAGAGGGGCTTGAGGCCGCACCACCTACCCTCATGGTCGTAGGTCCCCAGACCTGCCTGGCCTCTCATGGTCAAAGGTCGGCAATGTCCCATCCACTGTGCTGGGTCTCCCGGAACATGCCTGTGGGCGCCATGGTCCCCTCCCCGGGCCTGGGGCACACTCACCTGTCCGAGCTCGCACGAGCGCATCCAAGGCATACAGGACATCTGCCGAGTAGTCCAGGAGCAGCCACAGCATCAGGTACTCGGACTGCAGCTCATCGAAGCAGGCCCTAAAGACGCCAATTGGGAGATGGATGGCTGTGTGTGTTACTGGAGCATGGGCCACCCGTGTGTGGGCACCGGCTCTGTGCTGAAGACGCTGGATCATGTCATCTGGGAATGGCCCTGCCTGCATAATCACCCCAGCTTCCGATGAGGCACCACTGTCTCTGAGAAGCTTTTCTGTCCCACAGTCACAGAACTCCTGAGAAGAGCTAAGACTGACCCCAAAGAGCGGCCCCATTGCGTCTCAGCAGAGAGCTACAAGATCCTAGGAGGTACTGTTTTCCAGGCCTCACTGGCAGAGTCACGTAAAGGGGCTACGGACCTGCCCTTTCTGGGGTCAAATTTCAACAAAAAATAAGAGAATGTCTGAGAGATTAATAATGGAACAGGCAGTAAATATTTTCTACCTTCTCCATCTTTCTGCTGTTTCCCACACAGGCAGCACCCCCAGCTCTTCTCCTAGCCTCACAGACACAGCAGCCTGCCCCTGCCGCCCCCCTGCAGCTTGCTCAGCACCCCAAAGCCTCCTGCCATATATATATACACACATATATGTATTAGCCGGGCGTGGTGGCTCATGTATGTAGTCACAGCTACTCGGGAGGCTGACGCAGGAGAATCGCTTTAACCCGGGAGGCGGAGGTTGCAGTTAGCTGAGATTGCGCCACTGAACTCCAGCCTGGGTGACAGAGTAAGACTGTGTCTCAACAACAACAAAAAAAAAAGTAGCAGCTTGTCCCTGCCTCCCTACCCTGCAACACATTCAGAACCACCCACTTATCCCTCCAAAGAGAAGCAAACGCCCCTGCATCCTCCTCGTACAACTCACTTGAGGGGACCCCACAGTGCCGGAACCCTGACTGTCCACCTTAAGCTCAGTTCTCCACCCATGCTTCAGAGCACCCTGATGGTCTTCTTGGGGAACCTTCTATTTTTAAAGGGAGAAACTGAGGCACAAGAACCCCATGAGGGGTCCAGGCCTCAGGCCTCCCGAGTGAGAGTTGGAGCTCTGCCTCCTTGGCCTGGTGTCTGGTTCCCTCCTTTCCGCTGCATCTCCCACCCCCTGCTGCTCACCTGCAAATAAGCAGACACCAGTTATAAAAGACAGGCAGGGCGATGGCGGTCAGCCAGCGGTAGTACAGGTTGCTGGAGGGGTCCACCACGATCGCATCCTTCTTCTTCGTCTTCTTCCTGGAAACCCACACACACACAAACAGCGCACTGTGTTTCAAGACTGTAGCTTTGGAGGGTTTGAGAGACCTAGATTCCCTTAGAAACCCTACGGCCATTTTAGGCTGAAGCCCAAGATGTGGCTGTCCACAACAGGGTCCTCTTAGTTATCAAGGGAGTCACAGGGAGAGTCCCTGTAGGGGAAGACAGGCCGGGAGGTTGGGTAGACTCCAGAGGTCCTTTTCTCCCAGTTCAGTCCCAGGAAGTCACAGTTGACTATAAGGTCATGGTGATGACATTCCCATGTGCCCATGGCAACATCCACACCCTTCAGGATGCTGAGAATGAAAATGCAGCATGGCAATGTCACAGAGGTCTGCTGAAGTCTGGGGAACTTCCAGAAAATGCTGATTCCCGGGGCCCACTCATCTCTTCCAGGGCTGGGCCTGGGAATGTGCATTTAAGCATTGCCTGGATAGTTCTGAGGCAGCTCCTCTCTGGATAGAGTTGGGAAGCCCCACAGTATTCCCTGGAGAACCCTCTCAACCCCCCTCACTGTGTTTGTGCGGACGTGGTAAAGGCTGATTTCCATCGCGCCTCTCCATCAAAAGCCTGGGAATAACCTGTTATGTGGGCCCGCACTGAATGAAAAACATAGCTTAGAGGGCTTAGCTTTTATTCTTAGACTTTCCCGCAGATTCAAGTTTACAGGCTGTACTGGAGACTTCCTTTTCGTTGGGTCCATGTGTCCCCTCTGCCATCCCATGTGACCCACGCTGGCCTAGGCTTGCAGAGTGCTCCTGTGTCCCATCGGAGACCCCAGGGACTTCCTGCCTTCACCGGGATGCTGGGGTGCGAGGTCACTCACGGACGGGGCTTTGGGACGTTCCCAACAGCTCTCATCACCACTGAATCTGGGTGAAAGTTTGTGAACATTGTATCTTCCAGTTCCCCAGAGAAACCCTCAGCCTACCCTGTGTAGCCCACTTGTGAGGGCAAACGAAATGCTTCGAGTGGGGGGGTCACATGAGCAGGCTCACAGGGACAGCCCCCGGCTGCCCACCTGAGGCTGCAGACGAGCAACTCTCTTTACTTGTAAGCCCGCCTTGAGTTCTCAGAGCTCGGAGAGGATTCTTTCCGCAAGATGGGGGCTTCACATGGTCTCAGGAGGCATGGTCTGCAGCCTGGGGCCGACTTTTCCTCAGCTCCAAGCACCGCCTCCCCTCCAGGGCCGACGCTAAGGCCCCCTGATAGCGTTGCTCCAAGACACCCAGCCCTTGAGCCCTGCGGGGAGGTGGGGTCAGGCCTGCTGGGACCATGGCACCCGGTCCTTAGAGGCAGCTTCCTTCAGTACTTCCTCTTCTTGTTTTAGGTAGTTTTTTCTCTCTTCTTTTTTTCTCTTCCTTCTTTTCTGCCTTGTGGCTGGATGACGCCGAGGGACACTGAGCAGTCTTCATATATCAACGACATTACCAAGTGGAAAGGGCAGGCTGCGGAGTGACGGAAAGAGAGCGCGGCGTACGGCGTAGTGGAGAGAGGGCGCGGCGTGCGACATCGTGGAGAGGGGACGTGGCGTGCGCCGTCGTGGAGAGGGGACGTGGCGTGCGTCGTCGTGGAGAGCGGGCGCGGCGTGCGGTGTCGTGGAGGGGGGCGTGGCGTGCGGCTCATGGAGAGAGGGCGTGGCATGCAGCGTAGTGGAGAAACGGCATGGCGTGCGGCGTCGTGGAGAGGGGGCATGGTGTGCGACGCCGTGGAGAGAGGGCGTGGCGTGCGGCGTCGTGGGGAGGGGGCGTGGCAAGTGGGTACTTCCGGCGCTTTGGGACGGAATGGGGTTATTGATTTGCTATTATTATTCCTGAAGCACGAGGTAAACCACCCCATTGAGCATACACTGAGAAATTAATGGCTCAGTCAAATGTTCTACAATTTCTGATCTATTTTCGTGAGCTCCTGGGAAGTCACAAACAGCCAGAGACTGGAGACGTTTTGAGGTAGGAGGACAGAGACCCGAACCCACACATGGAGGTTGGGAAAGTTACTGGGAGTTTTGGAAATCCCACTCCAGGCTCTCTGTTCTGAATGGAAGGGTGGGGCCTGCCCGTTGTTCTTGAAACCTGTCTCTGGATCCGATGAAAACCTGGGCCTTAATGAGAAAGCCAGTGAGCAAAAGGGAACCAAAATTCGAAGAGGCGGGTCTGTGACACGTGTAGTGGCAAACACATGTCGTTGCAGGCTGGCAAATGTGGCCGGGTTCAGACACGCCTTCAGACTTTGCTTGGCTGCGAGGTGGTTCCGGCAGTGTCCGCAGGACAGTCCTGTGAGCGCAGGGTTTTCTTCAACATATGACTTTACACTGCTCCCTCTTCTTTACTGGGTGTCTTTTAAGGGCTAGGAACTCTTATAAAGTTATCTAATGAATACATGTAACATTTCTTCAAGGCAGGCAGTGATGCCCCATTGAATAGTTGAGGAAACAAAGGTTGCAGAAGGGACAAGGCCTGGAGTCCCCTTTGGGTCCCTCTGATTTCTCTCTTCCACACTCTGAAGGAAGGCATGGGTTGAGAGATAAATTCTGCTAATTAAACACTCATTGAAAAAGATCCATCCACAATTACCTAACACTTCCTATGGAAATAATCGAGGCTGTGTGCAATGCGTGTGGAAAAATAATCACCGCCATTATTCATGACAGTCAAAAAGGGAGAGCCACCGAATCACACCACAGTACAGGCCCATCCTCAATGGTGAATTCTATGTGGCCATTTAAAACGCTGTTTCAGAAGACATGGGCAAACAGCTCTAAGTTAAAAAGCAGACTACAAAGAGTTTATCATAATAGCTGGATCAGTTCTCTATTTCTGCCGGAACAAATTACTGCAAAGTGACGCAACATAAATGTCTTACTTGCAGATCTGTAGGTCAGAAGTCTGCTGTGGCTCTCACCAGACTAAAATCAAGGTGTTGACAGGGCTGCCATCCCCCAGAGGCTCTAGCGGGGCTCTGATTCCTGCTCATTTGGATCTTGAACAGAATCCAGCTTCTTGCGATTGTGGGGCTGAGGTCCCTGTTTCCCTGCTGGCTGCACCTCTCGAGGCTGTGGCTTCCTTAGCTCCGGTCCCTTTCCTCCATCTTCAAAGCCAGCAGCGATGGGTCGAGTCTCCCTCACACTGTGACTCTCTTCTTCCTCCATTTACTTTTTTCGACCCACTCTTCTGCTTTTAAGGACTCATGTGATTACATTGGGCCCACCCTGATAATCCAGGATAACCTACCTGTGTTAGTCTATTCTCATGCTGCTAATAAAGACATACCCAAGAGTGGGTAATTTATAAAGGAAAGAGGTTTGGACTCACAGTTCCACATGGCTCAGGAGGCCTCACAATCATGGCGGAAGGCAGATGAGGAGCAAAGTCACATCTTTTGTGGTGGCAGGCAAAGAGTCTGTGCAGGGGAACCCCCCTTTATAAAACCATCAGATCTCGTGAGACTTATTCACAGCATGGGGAAGACCTGCCCCCACGATTCAATTACCTCCCACCAGATCTGTCCCACCACACATGGGAATTAGAGGAGCTACAATTCCCATGATGAGATTTGGGTGGGGATACAGCCGAGTCAAATCATTACCTATCTCAAGGACCTTGAATTTAATCACATTTACAAAGTCCCCTTTGCCATGTAAGGTAACCTGTTTACAGGTTCTAAGGATTAGGATGGTAGACATCTTTTGAGGGAGATTGTTCTGCCTACCACACAAGCCAATATTTATTGAGCACTTACTATGTACCAGGCACTGTTCTGAGCACTTCACAGAGTAACACATTTAGTCTTCACTCCCACCCTGTAATAAGACACTATTACAATCCTCATTTCATAAGCCAGGAAACAGACACACAGAGAAGTTAGGTAACCGGCTTATATGGTTTGAATCTGTGTTCCTGGCATGGTGGTGGATGTCTCAGGGTTTAGCACCAACCCCTTGGTGCTTTGCTTGAGATAGTGAGTGAGTTCTCTTGAGATCTGGTTGTTTAAAGCACCTACCCCACCTTCCTTCTGCTCCTGCTGTGTAGGACTCCTTGCTCCCGCTTTGCCTTCGCCATGATTGAAAGCTTCCTGAGGCCTCCCCAGAAGCAGAAGCTGCTCTGCTTCCTGCACAGCGTGCAGTACCTCAAGCCAATTAAACCACTTTTCTGATAAATTACCGAGTCTCAGGCGTTTCTTTATAGCAATGTGAGAATGGACTAATACACCCGTCCAAGGTCACAAAGCTCTGAGGCAACTGAGTTGGGAAACAGATGCTCTTAACAACTATATGTATATATAAAACATATTGTATCGATCTCTTTATTCAATATATATGCTTAGGAAGAAGTTGGAAGTGTATTTGTCAACATGTTAAGTGGGGCTATCTCTGAGAGTGGAATTCCACGGTTAGCATGAAGTGCGATTTTTGTGTGTGTATGCCCCTGTGTGCTTTTCTTGCTTTCCAAGTTTTCAGCAAGAGTATTTCAATAAAGTGAATTAGAATAAAAGGTGATTAAAATCATTAAATGAAAAGAGCAAGGAAAGTTACCCCTCTGTCCTCCAGGGTGATGTGAACCCCGGTCTCTTTTCAGCCACTGGAGTCTTAACGTCAAGTCACCAGCAGACGGCGCTGCCCTCAAGCTTATTGGGTGAGCTTTGCCCTGCAGTTTAACCAGACCGGACTCAGCTTGCCTTGTGCAAGATTTGTGGCCCTTGATTACGGGCCTTCACCTGTCCTCTGGCTACCAAACTGCCGAGGGCCTAGGAAAGACCCAGCACCATTGGCTACATCCCCAAATCCACCCAGCACTGCCCCAAGAGAACCCTACACAGAGCTGCAAAATGCTGCTGGTTTTGGCTGGGAACAGTTTGATGGGGGAGGGAAAATTATTCAGGACTAAAGAGACCATATGAAAATGACAAAAACGGAGTGGAAGAGTCAGGGAAGGTGTTCATAAATAATTTTCGTGTGTGCCAGTTGTCCTCATTTTGGGACAGTTTCCAGTTTTGTCCCTTGGTCCTTGGCTTCGAAGTGGACCCGTGAAGTGAGCCCATTTATTGAAAGATTGAAGAGCTGGGTGCAGCCCATGCTATCCACCCACATCCTTGCCCACACCCCAGCCCCAGGACAAAGATGTCGAGAAACCCCCAGGACCTCTGTCCATGGTTTCAGTATCTGTAGCCTCTCCCTGCCTGAAAGACTGGGCTGCAAGGGTGTTTAGTGTCAGGTTTGGCTTTAAGTCTAACACAGATCACTATAGCTATTGCTTTGTAGAGAAAATCATCTCATTTTTCTTTATGGATGGTATTTGGTCTCTGGATTTGATGTCCAGATTTATGCAAACAAAAGACATGCTTCCTTCATGGAGAAAATAGAAAAAAGTTCTATCTGAGGAACAAAGAGAGAAATAGCAAGAAAAACCCTTGACACATTTCTCTGTCAGTTGGAAGTCACGAAATCAGCATTTCTCACTGACACTGATATTTTTTCCCTAATCTCCAAGTGAGACTCCCCCTCCCCAATAGTGCCACTCTGTCCCTAATCTGCCACCTTAGTATCTGGTGACGGAGAAAGGAATTACAGCAGGTCACCCTTTCAAGAGGCTATTCTCTGGACATATTTAAATTGCCTTTTTCCGCTGCTCTGATTACCCCCCCAAAATTGGCCCAAATTGACCTTAAAACAAGAGCATTTAAGGCCAGGCATGGTGGCTCACGCCTGTAATCCCAGTACTTTGGGAGGCTGAGGCGGGCAGATCACGAGGTCAGGAAATCGAAACCATCCTGGCTAACACGGTGAAACCCCGTCTCTACTAAAAATACAAAACAACTAGCCGGGCACGGTGGCCAGGCGCCTGTAGTCCCAGCTACTCGGGAGACTGAGGCAGGAGAATGGCGTGAACCCGGGAGGCGGAGCTTGCAGTGAGCTGAGATCGCGCCACTGCACTCCAGCCTGGGCGACAGAGCGAGACTCCATCTCAAAAACAAAAAACAAAAAACAAAACAAAACAACAACAACAACAAACAAGGACATTTCACTGGCACTCAAGAGCCTGAGGCTGTAGAATAAGAAAATGCCTTTTCATCATTAAGGAGAATCTCCACTGCTCTGTCAAGGAGCTCCGGTTCTGCACCCTCAGATATATCGGGGTATAGATGCTACAGCTTAAAGCATTTATCTGATCCAATTCCTTTGCTTTATAGATGAGAAAAATGAGAGCCAAAGAGATCAGACGACTTCCCCAAGAAGTCACACAGATCTCATCCCTCCCCCACTTCTGTCCTCAGGGATGGAGTTCCAACGAAAGGAACGGGATTCTAAAATATTCTACTGGTGTTCTGGGAGTGGGGAGCTGGAGCACCAAGGAGAGAGGCCAAGCTGGGGCTTCTATGGGGTGGAGGGCACCAGGCTTGGGAAGGGCTCTGCAGGGCGTGTGGGTACTTACTCCTCCTCCGTGTTGTTGCTGGTGTTAGTGTTGCGTTTGGCCAGGGGCCAGGCACTGCGGGGAAGTAGAGAGAATATCAAGGGTCTGAACTCGGTTTCCAGTCCTTGGGGCCATTTCCCCAGGGGATTACCATGGCCCCCCCCCCAACCCCCACCCCATCCCACTGCTTCCAGCCTTTGCACTCACAGCTTGAAGAATACGGGGTGGTATTGTCAAGGCCAAAATGCTTTGTGATTGGTTAGCTCAGATAAAAGACTTGGGGGAAGGGAGGGTGAACATGGCTAAACTGAGGCTTCTGAAGAAATGAAGATTCAGCCATTTGACTCCTTCCAGCTTCCCTGCCTCAAATTCCACTCAGTTTCCTTCCTTTCTACCCTGGATGGGGCCACGTGCCGGGCACTGAGAGGGGCACAGAAATGGACCCCACGTGGCCTCTGCCCTCAGCGCTTCCCTGCCTCTTGGGTGGAGGAGGTCTTTCACCTTCTGCCCCGGGATGGACGCAGCCTGCAGCAGCAGCCACAGCGACTTGCTCCCTCAGCTGCAAAGGCCTCTTCCAATTAGCAGGACAAGTAACTGAACATAGGCAGGATCGTCGTTGTTTCCAGCTTATCCTCCTCCTGTCCTCTCCTACCTCCCCAAATCTTACAACTCCAGGGCCTGACACCCCTGGTCTATGTGAGAATCTGGTTGAAGGTAAGGGCTGGTTTTGCACAAACTGGATATTTATTTAAAGTTGAATTTTGCAGTACTTCACGATGGTCTATAGCAAAAGGTATTATCTCTGACCGCCAGAACCCACTTTCAACATGGCTGGGTTAAAAACGCCAGGCGGTCTCGCAGGGCACTGCAGACCCCTCATAGGAGACCTTGAGAACTGGAGCTTGAGGCAGGTGACACCCCCGCTGACGCCCAGGACACCTCTTCCATGATGCTGGATGTCCAGCCAAATAAATGCCATTTTGATGACCTTAGCTCCTCCTGCCCAAATCTCCCTCTCCCCGTCTAAGATATGGCCGTAACCGCTTATTTCTGGATTGGTTCTGCTCATCTGAAAATCTCCCAGGAACTGGAACGGCCGTGGGATTGTGAAGGAGGGAAGGTTCAGCTCTGTGGGGGTGCAGTGGCTGTGTTCACCACGCCTCTGTGCCCGTAACCCCACAAAGCCAAGCCCACACAGGAGAACTAGGACCTGCCTCTGTATATACTTGGCTTTGCCGTGGAGACTTTGCCTCCAGAAAAATTCAAAATCCTCACCCCTAGGAAGCCTTGCTGGCTGACGGACACTATCCGCTCCATCGCGTCCGTCTGCCTATGCTGACCCTGCCCACGAGTGATCCAACAAGTGTCTGTGAGGTGGGCGGGGCCTGCCCTGGATGTGGTCCTAGCTCAACGCTCCATTCGTCTGGTCCCATCCGGAAACGGACAGAGTCTAACATTCATCTCTAAGGATGTAGGAAGGTAATTTGGTCAATTTAAATAAGGCAGTCTTTGCTTGTCCAAAAGGAATTAGACCGGTCTGGCTGGCTTGCTGAGAAACCTTTGTGTCCCTCCTCCCTCTTCCTCTTTCTCCACTTTGTCCTCTTTCTTATCTGTCTGTCTCCTTGTCTTTCTGTCTATGGTGTCCCCCAAGGGTACTGGATGCCCAGTCCTGGGAACCTGGGACCTCCCTGCACTTGTCTGGGCCAGTGCCCAGGCCTTCCCCAGCCTCCTTTCCACAGCCCAGGAAACCCAAGGGTTTGCAGTCCAAGCTCATGTGAAAACTGCCCTTCCCATCTCAGCCAGGGATTCTCACACCTTTCCCTGGGTCTCCTAAAGCAGTCACTG